TGTGTGTGTGTGTGTGTGTGTGTGTGTGTGTGTGTGTGTGTGTCTGCCTGCACAGCTCGGTGTGTGGTTTTCTCTTGGTTGTGCCTACTTTGCCCTGGAGGGCTATGAGGGAGCTGCTAAGGCTTTCCAGAGGTGTGTGGGACTGGAGCCAGACGTGAGTACCTACACACAAAGTCTTTCTTTTTAGGGACACTCTTTGACATAATGTATTTTCTCCAAGCCCATCCTTAGTTTTAAAGGCCAAGTAATGTGGGTTTGCTTGAGGCTGCTAGTGCATGAAGATTTTTTTAACACAAATAAATCATGCAGTTTATTTCAGTAATGTCCAAAGCATCAACTACAGCTTCATACTGCATCTAAAACTGTTATCTTTTAACTTGATTTTCACTTTTGGGAACTGGACAAAGTCACAGGGAGGCAAATCTGGCAGGTGGTTCATAGTGGTTGTGTTGGTGTGGGCGACACCACAGGTTGGCATGTACCACTGTACAGTGGACATTTGTTTTGAGCTCCACATTTTGAAACCTCAGCAGCCTTAGTGTTTTGTCCTAATGCTGGTAAGCTTGCAGGACTGACAGACTAATAAAATACTCAAATTTCACTTCTTGGATGGTTGTACCAAGCAGAGGGCCATATTAAATTACATATTACATAAGATTATTTTAGTGACAGACATGGAGATGTCAAGTGCAGTGAGTAGAACAAGTAGATGTGAAGCTAGTAGACAACTATCAACTACTGTTGCATGTGTATAGATGTCAAAGCAACTACATGCCTCACTTTACGCCTTGCGTAATGGAAAAAGGGCACCCTGCAGACAACTGTTATGAAGGGGAAACTTTCTGTAGACCACTGGAAAAACTGTTTTAAACAGGCTGTAAACATGCTTTTTAATGAAGTGAAGTTTGTGGGAGTCTCTATGGATCAACTTTCAAGCCAGCCTGAAGTGCTAACTGAGATAACGCAGTTTGTGGCAGTTGTGATTATTTTTCAGTCTCGGAGGTTGTTTCTGCTTGGTCCTCCCAAAGTGAACGTTTCAATAAATTTATGTTCATAGCACACAGTTAGTACACAGCAAATATATAGACGTCTCTCATTTTAACACACCATTTCATTTGGTGAGGGTTTAATAGTCACTCCAGCTTTTCTTTATGTGCATAAACCTGAAAATTGTGTTTTGTAGGATTTGTTTGTTATTCTTTACTTCCTTT